GATTAAACTCAAGCACACAGAACCTCATCATTGAAGCTGGCTGGCTTTCATCGTCTTTGCAAAGCTTACCCATAAAGTGTACTTTTAGAGCTGATGCTCCTGACGACAGTGTGCCTGAAGATGCCAAGAACAGCAGAAGCCCTGAGCCTGTGTGTGAGTGCCATGTTGTTGATCAGCAGTTGTTGGACACTGATCATCATAGCATGAGGGTCTCTCTTTGCCACGTTTTTTATTCTCCTGCTCCTGTGATGGGCAGTATGTTAGGATCAAGTACAGAATATGGCCTTCAATTGCAGAACTGCTTTGCTCTTCTATCTGCCATTTGAATATTAAAGTAGACTTAACCATGTGAGCCACAGCGTCAAACAACTCACTTCATGACTACAGAAAGGAAGAGAGGACCTCTGAGTGTCGGTTTCATAAAGAAATGTCTTCTGGCACCATGCTACAGTTTGTGGTTTATGGAACGAACGCTGCTTCTCAGAGGCTCGCTGCTTGACTTGATCGAGGCAGAGATGGAAGCATGTTGAGGAATTAGTCAAGGCTCATATGAAAGCAGGGGTTGGAAAAGCAACAAGTTCTTCAGACAGTATATGTTCTTTTGGAAAAGTGACTGCATTGAAGAATTTCAATCTTTTAAAGGTGAATTAAGGCAAGACAAATTGCTAAAGTTTTATATCAAAGCAATGAGACAGACATTTCAAAATGATAATATAAAAGGGTATGTGCTTTTCAAGAGTTTTCTAGAGCAGATTTTCACCACTTTGTATTCACTCACTCACTCACCCACTCACTCACTCACTCACTCACCCACCCACCCACTCACTCATTCGCTCATTCCGTGGGGCTAAAGCCCTACGAGGAGACAGAACTGACTGAGGAGTTTACATCTGAGATTGTGTGGTCAAGAATGTGCTTCCACAAATGAGAAGTAAGCTGAGCTCTGAATGTCACATGAAGAAGTTAAGTGGCAATCCAAGCAAAGAAACGTGCAGGCAAGAGGATGAGGCAGAGGAAAAAATTTGACCTACAAAGATTCAAAAGGAAAACCAAGGAAATATATGTGATAGGAATTGTAAAAATAAGATGGGATATTAGGATAGAGGAGTTTGTATCTACAACTGGGGTGGAAGGGAGGACAGAGGGCCCTAAGTACCACAGCAGAGTTGGGACTTTATTTCAGATGTGGCAGCAAGGCACTGAAATGTTTAGAAGCAGGGGAATATGACACAATATAATTTACGTTTTCCAAGACTGGGATACAAAAAGCTGCCCACAGGGCTGTAAGATTGGGCCTGAGAAAAATCAGTTTTGAAAGCCCAAGTAATTGCCCAAGAGAGGCTAACGGGTGCCGAGGAGGCAACAAACAGCAGGTGGAATGGTAATAAATACACACTTTGAGACATGGTAAAAACAGAGCTAATGGATCTGTGATAAAACTTAGATTTCTGAACTGAGTGCACATTGTGGCACCATTAGTTGAACTGAGGAAGAATGGAAGAATAACAAACTTGAAGGAAAAAAAAAAGAAAATTAGCTTTATGAATGTTAAATCTGAGTTACTTAGAAGGTACCATGAAGGACAGGTAGAAATTCATCTTAGCCAATGTTAGACCTGGGAGTCAACATTAGCAGAAACCAACATAAAGGTAGCATATAATACCACAGGACCCAATGACATATCTGAGGGTCTACCCATCAATGGACACAGATAAAAGAGGGGTGGGCCCCTCTACCTAGAGGCCAGGAAGAAGAACCAGTGGAAAAGGTGGAAAAGACCAAGGAAGCTGCTGGCATGGAGGGAGAAACATGAAAAGAAAAGACCTCATGGAAGACAAGAAAATCAAAGGTTTTAATAAAGATAGAGTGAATGACCAACTCTCAAAACTGTTGAAGAATGAATAAAAAAAATTGTATTAACAAAGAAAGTTCTTATGAAAATGTCAACCTAAAAACTAGGGATTCAGCAATTACTGGTATGGACAATAGTGCGACAATTAGATTCATATAAATATAAGTATTCTTACATATTAGAGCCACGCCCCCCCATTTAGTCCAAATGCAAGCTTCTCTTTGAAAGACTACTGTTGAGAGAATGTCTACTATTGCTGAGAACTTCATTACCTGTTCTGTGTGCCATGTTCATAGAATAAGAAAAAACATTAGGATCCCACATACTCACAGATGGCTAACACTGCCTTGGGTCAAAATGCTAGGTTACAGGCTGGAGAGATGGCTCAGTGGTTAAGAGCAGTGACTGCTCTTCCAGAGGTCCTGAGTTCAATTCCCAGCAACCACATGGTAGCTCACAACCATCTATAATGGGATCTGATGCCCTCTTCAGGTGTGTCTGAAGACAGAAACACTGTACTCATATACATTAAATAAATAAATAAAATCTTTTTTAAAAATGCTAGGCCACTGATAAATCTGTTCTGACTGCTACATTCTTATCACCCACCATTTGCATTGTGATGTCTCAATGTTCCATGTTGCACTTGGGCACTGTTTGCATTTCTTTAATTCCCTGCTGATATCCCTGCTGATATTTGGTGGCATTGGGGACAACCTGTATGGTATATATTCCCCGAATGATCTGGAATACTTAAAACCAAGGCTAACATTTCCTATCATACAACATGCTCTATATAAACTGTGCCTGCTTAGCCAATGTAAATCCAAAGAATATGCCTAGGTATGTAAATAATCATAGTCTATGTAAAATACTAGAGTGAAAAAAATGCAACAAAATAATATAAAACAACACAAAAGGAACTGAGCATGGTGGTATGAACAATAAATCCCAGAACTCTGGAGGCGTCAAGGGGATCTCTGTGAATTTGAGGCCCACATGATGAGTTCTAGGCCAGCCAAGGTTTTACACACACACACACACACCAAACAAAAACCAAACAAAATCCAACTGAGCTGGAAAGAAACTGCATTAAATTATTGACCTCTCATCCTCCCTTCAGCCACGTCTGTAATCTACAGGTTCCCATAGAGGTGACTAGATCATTTGACGTGCCTCTGACTGATGTGTGTGAGGCGCACAGTAGGTGCTCAGTAGTTGAGTTGCTTCAGGATGAAGATATGCTTTTGGCATTTTCAATTGAGCTTTCTCAATTGAACTTCTGTTTATTCTTCAGAAAACATGTGACCAGTACCAAAAGAGGGAACACAGTCTTAATACGCAGAGTGATTCACATGATCAATTGTTTTTAACCCTTTAGTAACCTAAACTTAGGCGGTTTGATTTTCCTGTCATTGCTTTCCCTATACTCTCAAAAATGATGCTTTCTTTACTATTTCAAACTCATCAGAAAATCGCTAAAAATCTAAAATTCAATTTGCCACATTACTGCTAATTTGAATAATGGCTGAATAAAACACAGGAAACGCTGAAGCAGCATTGATTTCTAAAACATTTTGCACTTTCCTCCTCCATCCCTGTAAAGTAAAGCTTGGATGCTACGCACAATTACACAAGAAAATCAAGAAGGGCATTACATTCAGCATTTTGTCATGATCACTGTTACCATGGCAAAGAGTAGGCGTAGTTTAGCACAGCTGCCACGGGCGAGATCTGCTGGCCTTTTGTAAAGCTGAGTAACAATATAATGCCAGATTCGATAGCCTCCCACCCACAGCCCACACTGTTGCCTGCAGATGCTACCATCTCCTTCCTTAATGATCTGGGCATGTGTCATCATATTACTGTATTCTTACTGTTGACCAATGGCAGAAGAGCACAGCTAATTTAGGAAGGTTGTCCCCGATCCATTTCTTGTTTTCATGGAGGAAAACACAGAGTGTGAGAACACGAATGCAATCATAAAAAAACAAAGAAAATTGCAATCATAAAAAAAAAATCAAAGATTCAACAGTTGCATTGCAGATGACAGGACACTGTGTTAGAGATGGACGGGAAGGGGGAGGTGGAGATAAACATAGGCCTGTGATAACTAGCAGGATAACATATTATTTCCTTTCTCTGAGTATCAGTTTAGTTATCTGCATAATGGGGACAAAAGGAACTTGCTGGGCTGGGGCGAAGTTTCATTTGAGAAACTGTTGCTACACAAGTCTCAGGACTGGAAGCCCAATCCCCAGCACCAGGTCAAGGCCAGGCAGGCATGATTGCTGCCTGTATCTTAGCAATGGGAAGGCAGAGATGAGACTCCCCAGGACAAGCTGCAACCAGTGAACTCTAGTTTCAGTGAGAGACCTGCCTCAATAAATAAAGTGGGAAAGTGGTGGGTTATTGTGGGTTATTGTGCCAGCATTGGGACTTCACACCCACATTAACACACATGTATACACCTGCACAGAGTCACACAAACCCATATACTATAGACATGCATGCACACATGCACAACCTCCACAAAACACACACACACACACACACACACACACACACACACACACACAACTTCCTAAGAATTAACTGAAATAACTTTCAGGTCCAGGGATTTGGTATATCTGCCTCAACCTGAACTGCTTTAATGGTGGAGACTTCCATCTCGTCAGGATGGTTGTAGAAATCTGTACATAGACTGTTTGGTACTGTTGTAATGTAAATCATTTTCATTTTTCATGTGGTTCGGATACTGTCTTCAGGTAACTGGGAATAAATTAATTTTTATGGCCTAAAAGGAAGCATAAATTCCACATCAAAAGGATAAAATCCAGTGTCTATACCATATTATGCACCACAGCTTGTTATCTGTATTTTAAGTGACACTAATGTAACCACTGTAAAGCAGGAAATAGACTATACTTGTTTTGACCTTAAGAACAGATTTTTAAGTTTTAAAAAATGAAGCAACATCATGAAAGCAGAGAAGTTTAAATTATCTCAAATGAATACATTAATCAGAGTCTGTATTTACTAGGGAAAAAAGGCTTCTAGCATTTTTACCAGCTAAACAAAATATTTTTTTCTAATGAGACTTCAGCTGAGTATCGTTTATCTTAAGAGAAAAATAATGGGACCTTACCTATTCCAGTAGCTCCAGAACTGGCCATGCAGGTAGGCGTGGTGGCTACATTCATCACCAAATGAGGCTTTGCTTTCAATCCAGTGAATTATGTGCCCTTCCACAGCTAAGGGACAAAGCATTACTAATACATGGTGAAGGAGAGGGAAGATTGAAAATCCCCAACTATGCACTGGCCTCTCTATGCTGCACATTAATGAGCAGGGGCTTAGCCTCTGCCACTCACTGTGGGTGTAATTTATAAAACACCACGTTTATGGGAGTTCATTGCCAGGCACGCTGGGGCCACAGTCTCATCTTGTTCTCCTCACCCCATTCTTCAAAACTTCCTTTCTTAGTGCTCACGATGCTGGCCTGTGGCTCGACAAGTGACGTCAAGACCAAAGTGTGCCTGGCGGGCTAGCAAAGCTGAGTTTTTAAAACTCAAAATTTAGAGAAATGAGCTGAGAATGGCATCTTTAAAAATGCCCTCAGGAGGCATGCTCCTTCCTCAAGTGTACTGAGAAGTTCTGAGGCACAGGCTTCGCCTGAACCAAGTGCTAGACAATTGAAGATCATCTTTTCCAATGAGTTTACCCATTTCAACACAGTATTATAAAGATAATCTACTCTGACAACATTTGCTAATAATAACATGTTAAAAAAGAACCCAACAATCCCCTTCTATACAGAAAGGTGCATCCAAGCTCAAGGACTTACCAACTGGCACCTGTAAAATGAAGTCTGGGGTTTTGTCATAGCCCTTTGCACGGAGCTGATCTTCATCTGCAGGAAGAACAAACACTATCATTTATCGAGGCACTCCATTAAAAAGACAGCAATATAATTGCTTTTCTTTCTTAAATATGTGTAAAAATTACTAATGCAGCCATACGTGTCTTTCTTATGCGTGCAATGCCGTGTCAGAATAAATGAATTTTCTTCCCAAACCTGAACCAGAGATACAGAATGCTTCTTTGTCCTTTTTGCATTTTTATGTCTTTATTATAAACATCATTAATCCAAGCTGTCAAGAGCTACCTTTTTTTTGGGTAATTGAAAATTCTCAAAATAAATATACTTACTGATGGAAAGTAAAGAGACCCACTACGATGGAAGTCAGCATTGCTAGTAGTCAATATTGACAGTGTACAGTGAGGCAGAAGCATGGTAGCCTTTGCAACCAGGAAAGAAATGCTTCTGTTAAAGCAATCAAGAAACTCTGGTTTAAATTAATAAAGCTACTCCCATACACAAGGAAAGGGGGAAAGTGAGATCTCCACAGTTGGTTATCATGTTTAATCCCTTGTTTATATGACTGTTTCTCCGATTGGGAGTTTGATGGCTTGAAGTCTGCACATCTGAAAAGCAAACAAGCTTGAAGATGTTTTCCCTGTCTTTTCAATTTCTTCTATAGATATCGATGATCCTGTTGGAAGGGAAGAAAGCAGGGAAATGGAGACCCAGATAAAGTTGGAAAAACTAGCAAGGTGCTTGGGGAAAAAAAAAAGAAAAGAAAACCCTCCTAGTATTTTCTAAATGCTGTCCTTGACTTCTAATAGCATTACGATGTGATTTCTGAAACAGAGAGTTCTCCATTAGATTTTGGAGTGACCTGGTCATTCAATTCCAGGCATGGCTTTCTGTCTTCACCCAACCTCAACTAATGGCCCAACCAAGTAACAAGGAAGGCCGAGTGGTCTCTTAACACCTACTGGGCTGTTGACATTGTCATGCATCCCATTGGCCTTCCTACATCAACTTTGATTAAAATTAATGGCCCATTCCGAGTGTTGGGTAGCTTATTTCCAATCCATTTGTCAGCCCAAGACAGTGGTTTCACGGCCAGCTTTGAGAAGCTCTGTTTTAGAGCATTCTTGTGTACATCCTGAAAGGTCAGCATTTTAAACATAAATAAGCTTTTAATGAGAAGACACACATTAAAGTAGATATCTAAGTGAAATGCTGTTAGAAGTTGGTATTTTTACTGAGATTTAGAAGGCTTAATGTTAGCATTCAGAACAGTTCTCCTTCTTTGAAATAAAGAAAAATCAAGCTGTTGAAATAATGAAATACAAATCAAACAAAGGTTAATTTTAAAACAAAAGAATTTTGAAATTGGGCTACAATAAAAGACCAGAAAATTTCTACCCTTTAACTGTACTCTGACTGAAAAAACTTTAATGGAAGAGGTATTTATTCAAATCAATCCTAATGTTTTGAGTGATGATTTAGACACATGATGGATAGTTTTAAAAGCTGGTCGACATTACAAAAAATGTTAGCTAATATTTCATTAAAACTATCTTAGCTTCATCAGTCTACGTAAATGCTAAAACAATGATAGGCTTCTGACAACAGCTCAGAACAAAACTTCAAAGGTCACCAAGCATCCCGCAAGCACAGCCAAACCCCTTTAAAAGCTGAAGCACACTACACATTGCATGATGTAAAATGACCCGTGTGACTGAAACTTCATCGCTTCTCTCATGTGAAAATTTAAAATCTCAAACCCCAAACCTAGCCACTAGATAAAGCTAGGGAATGTTCCCATCTTTTTGTGGAGAATTTCAAAGTACCAGGGGACAAAGTCTCAGTTAGTAAGTCTATCTGCCGTACCTCCCTTCTCTTTTCTCTCTTTTCTCTCTTTTCTCTCTTTTCTCCTCTCCTCTCCTCTCCTCTCCTCTCCTCTCCTCTCCTCTCCTCTCCTCTCCTCT